AGCATGGCTGGCTGGGGAATTCTGGGAGTTAAAGTCCACATGTCTTAAAGTGGCCAGGTTTGAGACACACTGATTTAGAGCATTCAGCTGTTCATAACTGAGGTTTGCAAGCTGTTATGCCTTGTGATCCATGAGGACACAAGAAAAATCTTTAGGCCCAGAAACAGAGCAAGCCACTTTCTACGGAGGGAAGCGTCTACAGCACAGACTGGCATGGGCTCACTGAACTTTCCAATGGATTGTTTTTCCTGACGATAGCTGGGGCTTCCACACACCAAGGCTGCATCCCAGCTGCTGGACTGGGAATTCAAGGTGTTCCAGTCCCAACACTCCAGATTGGAGAAGGAAAACAAGCTTTACGTAGACAAGTTGAAGGGATGAGGGATGAAAAGAAAGGTCAAAAAGGGCGAGTTAGGACTTTTCCCCAAAGATCTTAACGTTCTTAGCAGAGGGCAACGCTTCTGGACTAGATTACATCTCAGAAGGGGAGACTTGTGAGTGAATAAGGGGTGAATAAGAGGAGAACGTTTTTAACAGGATGAGAAGCTTATCTGGAGAACCAATTACCTAAAGAGGTGGTGGGCTCTTCTTCAGTGAAGATCTTCACCTCTTGGGGAGGGTCTATCTCTGGATTTCCTGCAAGGAATAGAAGTTTAAACAGGACGGCCCACCGACCCTCCACTTTCCATTCATATTATCCCAAAGGTTTTCCTCTCTCCCCATATTCCATTTCTCAACCATGGTCTACCAAATGCCTCCAGGAATTTCAGAAGTTGGTGTTGAAGTCAACAGCCTTTTTCCTGTGGCACTTCTATGGGGGATCCCAGTTCTCCCAAAGGCAAAAGTGTGTAACTTTGTCGGGGGGGGGGGTCTGAGCATTGTACTTTGTTTCTGAATTGTGTCCTTGGGGACCGAATTCCAAACTGCGTAAGGCTAGGACAGAGAAGGCGGCAATCCATCTCAAAAACGTACATTCGGTTTCATTTAATGCAGATGCAGTTAACATTTAAGAGAGTTTGCCTTATTACTCCGTTTGCAAAAGGGGCAGGATTTGGGTTGAGCTGTCTGATACGTACATTCTGTCATTTGGCTTTCTTGGGGTATGAACATGAGCTCTAGACACCCATAACAATTGTCTGGTTTTTAATTGGAATTCTTGCTTGGTTTTCTTTGGTCTGTCCTAAGCTGCCAGGAGTTGAACGCTAGAGTTGGGGGGCCATATACAGTCATCAAGTGATGATAAAAAAAACAGACGCCACCTCACGACGTCTACTCTTCCCCAAGAGACACAGAGGGAACCTGCGTCCACCTTGGCTCCCCGCAGCCCCTCACCTGCATGTGCCTTTTCATGCCTCCGCAGCTGAGAGCGTCGGATGAACCTTTTCTCGCACTGGGAGCAGGCGTAGGGTTTCTCCCCCGTGTGAGTCCTCTGGTGGGTGAGGAGCGACATTTTCAGCTTGAATGTTTTGCCGCAGTCGGCGCAGGAGAAGGGGTTCTCCTTGCTGTGCGTGGCTTTATGAGCTTCCAAGGAAGCCTTCTGGATGAAACTCTTCCCGCACTCCGGGCACGCAAAGGGCTTTTCCCCCGTGTGGATCCGCTGGTGCCGGGCCAGGTTGCTTTTATTGTGAAAACTTTTCCCGCACTCTGTACACAAAGAGGGTTTCTCGCCGGTGTGGACTCGCTGGTGCGTGTTGAGGGAGGACTGTTGGCTGAAGCTTTTCCCGCACTCTGGGCACTGATATGGCTTCTCCCCCGTGTGGGTCCTTTGGTGCATGATGAGATGACATCTCGAGTGGAAACTTTTCCCGCATTCCAGGCACGGATGGCATCTCTCCTTCGCCGGGGTCTTGCCGTCTGCAGCCGAGGGATCTCCGCCATTGATGCTCTTCTTGGTGGAATCTTGCAGCGTCTCCCCTCTGTGCATTCTCAGGTGCAGAAGGAAACCTCTTTTCCGCTTGAACTTCTTCCCACAGTCGGGACAGATGAATGGCTTTTCCTTGCTGTGGGTCGGCTCGTGTTCAATAAGGCATACTTTCTGTATAAAACCTTTCCCGCATATGGGGCAGCTGTAGGGTTTCTCTCCCGTGTGGATCTTCGTGTGCCTGATCAGGTTACCTTTATTGGAGAACCTTCTCCCACAGACGTTGCACAAATATCTCCTCTCTCCTGTATGGACCGTCTTGTGTTTACTAAGGGCCTGCTTCTTAATGAAGCTTTTCCCACATTCAGGGCACTTATAGGGCCTCTCTCCGGTGTGGATCCTCTTGTGAACAATGAGGGACACACGGCTCATGAAACTCTTCCCACATTCCGTGCATTTAAAGGGTTTATCTCCCATGTGGGCCCTCTCGTGCAAGATGAAGCTCCGTCTCCAGCGGAAACTTTTGCCACAAATTGAGCACTGATAGATCCTCTCTCCAACCACCCGTGTCCTCTCATGCGTGTTCCTTTTGTGCTTGGTCAAATTGTTTCTGTAACGGAAGCTTTCGCCACACTCTGAGCACTGATAGGGCATCTCCCCTGTATGCACCCTCTCGTGCAAAATAAGGCGATGTTTCCAGTAGAAGCTTTTGTCGCAGTGTGAACATTTATGGGGTTTCTCTCCTTTGTGGCTTTTCTCGTGACCCGTCAAGGCACATTTGGTTTTGAAGCTCTTGCCACACTCGGGGCACAGATAGGATTTCTGTCCTCCGTGGGTATTTTTGTGGACCACCAGGGCGGCTTTTCCATTGTAGCGTTTGCCACACTCGGAGCATTCGTAAGGCCTCTCATCTGTGTGCATTCGCTCGTGTTCAATGAGAGAATATTTAAAAATGAAGGTTTTGTCACACTGGGAGCAGGCATGTGGTCGCTCCCGGGTGTGAGCCCTCACCCTGTGTGCATTAAGGTATTTTTCAAGAGTAAAGCTCTGGTCGCAGTCCGAGCATTTGTACAGTTTTTCAGCCGTGTGGATCCTCTTGTGTATCCTAAGTAAAGACTTCTGATTGAAGGTTTTATCACACACAGGGCACGAGTAGGTCTCTCCAGCGTGAATCTTCTGATGTACTGCCAGAGATGTTTTCCAAGGGTAGCTCTTCCCACATTCCGAGCATTCATAGGGTTTCTCCCCAGTGTGGGTTCTCTGGTGTGTAATGAGAGAGGCTTCCTGCCCAAAAGCCTTGCCACAATCTGAACACCGGTAAGGTTTGTCTCCTGTGTGAGATCTCTCGTGTGCAAGAAGACAAGCTTTCTTATTGAACCTCTTCTCACACATGGAGCATCCGTATCGCCTCTCCCCCGGATGTGATCTTCTGTGTTCGAGAAGAAACGATTTATTGGTGAAACTCTCCCCACACTTGGAGCAACTATAGGGCTTCTCGCCTTCAGGAGACTCCTCTTGTACCGTACAACCCTCTTCTACTACTTCCAAGGAAACCCTCCCAGGATCCACCTCCACCGCTTCTTCCAGCTGGCACTCTTGCTCTTCCTTCTCCTGTTCGTGCTTGTCATCTGCTGAATGAAACAAGGGATTATCACCAGGGCTGGATGGACTCCATTGCTGATAAGAGAAAAAAGTTTAAAAGAAATGAAATCTTTTGACAAAGCACTCCAAATTGGGCATCACAGCGGAAGTCAGGGATTTGCTGGAAGGAAGAGAAAAGATGGATGCCAATAAAATTTCCATCCAGCGAAGGAACCATTAGACAAGTAATTTGTCCCCTATTCGAAGGTTGCTCAAAGAACTCCCATGAGATCTGGAAACAAACAAACAAACATTTATGCCTCTTTCAGTGTCAGGGTTTCAGGCAGTTTACTAAATTAAAACCCAACAAAAATGTGCCAGCTCCTATATACAAGATTTAGTTCTTCTTGCACTATGATCTGATAGCAACAGAACTCTATTTACACCGCTGACACCAGTTGCCTCTCAGCTTCTGGGCTTCCTTTCCAGCTGCCAATCAGAACAATAATATACAGCTTTTAAAAACCTGTAACCAGGGTTTGTTGTTTTTCTCTGTCTCTCTCCTCTCTGGGCTTTGGGTATTTTATGCAATTGTGGTCCAGCTTGGCATGTTTTCAGCCAAGTCAAGCTTGCTCAATTGAGCCAAGCTGTCGTGAAGCGTCAGGAGATCAGGCTGGGAAGCGTGATAAGAAACTACAAATGAAGAAAGGCAACCATTTTAAAAAAGAGGGCATTTCAGAAGCTCCATAAAGTTATTGATGGCTTTTAGATGTTCTGATTATAAAGCAGCCATCCTTAGGCTGATACCCTCCAAAAATTGGGGTAACCGTTCCCCATAACTCCAGCGATCATAGGCAGTGTTAATATCCTTTAGTGCAGTTCCCTTTAATAAATTATTATTATTGTTCTTCTTATGAAGGTGGCTAGCAAAGAAATAATTCAGACGAAGATAAAAGAGACAATACCTATCTGAAACAAAGTATTTAACGCGGTGTTGTCCAAACTTGGCCACTTTAAGATGAGTGGACTTCAACTCCCAGA